TCGGTACTCTCACACACCCCAAAATCGTAAGGGAAGACGAAGATAATATATGGAATAGAATAACTCTAATCAGGGGCGGACCCAGAAATTTGGGTGAGTGGGTTCACATTTTGTGCACATAATTAAATTGTTGATATTTATATAGCAATAAATCTAAAACCTCAAAGGTAAAAAAGTATCAATGAATAGCATTTTGAGATTACTATTGTGAGAGATATGTAATACTTTTGAAATATTGTACAAAAATTATAATACGTTCATTGTTTTAAACAAAAAAAGAAAAAAAAACTAAACAGCTAATATAAAGTACTAATATACACATTTCTTCAAAATACTAACTATAATTTAGGAATCATTTTAAAGCAATTAAACTTGTTTAATTTATACATGTAAAAAAATGAACATTTTATAATTAAATTTCATAATGAAAGTTAAATCAGTTTTTCAAATCTAAAGGAAATTAAAACAGAAAATTCTACACAACTATAGAATTAAAACAAAAAATTCTACACAACCTAATTACTTATACTACTAATAAAAAAATTTGGAGTGGGTGCAAGTGACCCCACTTACACCACCCTAGGTCCGCCCCTGACTCTAATAGAGTGTACTTAGGAGTTTTAACCATGACTTCCTCCTCAAGAATAGTCAACCAAGTAGGATTAGAATTCTCTCTTCAAGCTTTTTCCTCTTTCTCTTTCTGCACACAGTAGAACTTTAAGTCTAAATAAAACATCTAAAATAATTCTAGTGAAATCTATTCCTTTGTCAAAAAATAATGCCAACCGTACACAAATGGAACTAACAATATTTTAATTTGTCTTTTCGGTCAAAAGACTCAAACGAATTGTTCAAGGAAATAAATTTGAAATTTATGATTTAAACATATTTTCTTTTGGAATAGAAAAACTCAATAATTCAAACTTGGAGCATACCCAAAGGCAATACACCTCACGGGTTCCCTTGCGTGGTATATGAAGCCACCAAGGATTAACTAATTCAGCTAAAAACAAAAACCATCACATTGTCCTTTAGTAGCGTGAAGGTGTTTCTTTAAAAAATTAGTCCATCTTGGAAATGCACATATTTTAGTCAATAACTTTGATGAAAATACAATATCTTATGTAAGCGCACTTGGTCGTGGGCATAGTTTTAAATTGATATGGAAAACGAATTGTAAAGGTAGATGAGTTCTTTATTCTTTTTGATGGGGTAAAAAAGTAGAGGAATTGAATTTTTTACAAGTTTGGTTGTACCATATAGTAAGGTGGGGACATTTTTAGAAAATTACTTAGAAGTGTCACAGATTTTGTCAAAGTAACTTTTAGATTCCTCTATTTTCAAGAAAGCAATAGATAGAGGCAGATCCAATTCAATAGCATTTGGGGCACTTGCCCCTATTGGATTAAAAAAATTACTAGTTTGAATTGATTATCCATTTTTTTCTAAATAAAAAATAATACTATTGATGAGATTTAACCCAACAACTATGGCAACGTAGAACGGATTTAGGAAAATAAATATCAATAATAATGATTCTTGATGTGTTTCTATTAATTTGTTTATGCTTGTCCTTACTTGGTTTACAATGGAGGGTTCTCCCTCTATTTATACTACATTACAATTATATACATGATGGGCATTTGTCATGCACATAAATCTTGGCCATTATCTCCTTTATGTCGATCGTGGAGGTTAACTGCCCAACCCTTGATTTTCCCACGACTTGGGGCTATTCGCCTGGGTCTAACAATGGAAGCAGGGCCTTTAGTATAACGTTTACCAATCCCCATTCCAATACTGGCCCAATCCACTCTCTTCTGGATTGGGTCGTTTATTTTCACTTACCATTATTCAATTGTAATAAGCTTGTTTGTTCTTGTTTTTTCCTCTCTTTTTCATCTCTTTTTTATGAGCCAACTACTGCATACTCATTGCCAATTACAAGTAACAATATAAGTGTATTTAGTTATTCACATGTCATAGATACAAATAATATCATCCTACAAATCTAGAATTTTTTTTACACATAAGAAGGTTTCATACACCGGCAACACCATTTTCATTCTATCTCGTTGTATTTCTGCACGTTCCACATTCATAGTTATATATGAATTAAATTACTCTTAGTAAAAGAAATAATTTGATACCCTACCTTCTACGGTCATTCCACAACACGCTTGTCTAGTCATTGGTAAAAGAAACTTAAGCTCTACTCCAATCAACTTATCTTTTCAGATATGATCTGATTTTTTGTAGTTCTAATCGGATATGATCTGGTCTGATCTAATCTGATAAGATCTGATTGAATCTGATTTGATCTGATCTGGTCTAATATGATCTGATTAATTATTTGATTTAAAATTCAAACAAATAATTTGATTTGACTTTATAATAATGTTTGAAAATTGTAATGATAATTCATATTATAATATAATCCGTATTTTTTATTTTATGATTATTTTTTAATGAAATAAAATTAGTTAATTCATATATTAGAATAATCATTCATATTATAATGTAAATTTTTTTTATTTTATGATTAGTTTTTATGAAATAAGAATATTGATTTAAATATTTTAATAATTTGTTCATATATACATTAGAATAAATATATAATTCATATATACATTAAAAAGTAATTAAATTTAGATAATCAATATAGAGAAGAAATAGTATTTTTATTAAAATATCTCATCCTTGTAAAATATCAACGTGTGCTTTGTACTACGAATTTTTTTTATGATTAATATAACACCATAGATATAATAGTTTTTTGAGTTATACTAAAATATACTTCGTATATGAATATCAAATGTTAATTTAATTTAAGTCATGACCAAAGTTGATCAGCTCGATGTAGTAAAACATCAAAACTTTGGAACAATAAAAATATATTTTAAAAGTATATTTAGATTGACATCGTCAATGTATTTTAAAAATAATTTTTACGACGTCTAATAATTAAGTATTACTTTCTCAGTTTTCTATTTAACTTGTTTCTAAAGTTTGTTCTATTTCATTTTTAATAATAATAATAATAATAATAATAATAATAATAATAATAATAATAATAATAATAATAATAATAATTCTTGATAGGATCTGATCTGATATGATCTGATTGGATCTAATCTAATCTAATCTGTTCTGATTCGATCTGATCTGATCTGGTCTGATCTAATATGATTTTTTAATAATAATAAGAAAAAAGTAGAAAAAATAAGTTGGATGGAACGGGGCCTTATATCATACTAGACTTGGGGCATCCTCCTTTTGTCTAGCAATACCTATTCGGTGGTACCTAACTGTATTACATCTGTCTCAGATTCTTAGATTCTAGTATGTCTCGAAACATATCTATTAGTCTCAAATCCTTGAAGCTCGTATGTTACAACTATCCATATCTAAATGTTAATTTACACTATTCTCACATTATAAAATAATGTTGTAACACTATTATCCATATTGTGTTAGAAATATGTTTACTTGATTCCAAAGTATATATTACATTGAAAAAAATTAGAATCGAAAAAATTTTCGTTCGACCCCGTGCATCACATGGGTCAACATGCTAGTTATAGTAATCTGGTGCTCTTTTTTGCATTGTGTAAGTTCCACCCTTAGTTAATCAATATGTGGATATGACTCAATATACATCTCTCAAATAAATGTCGGTCCAATTTTTAGGAGACTATCAGAATTAACTAATATTTTTTATGAGAAGTGTTTGCATATGTTTATGTTTGTCTTGGTATACACTTGATACAACCATGCTACACTTACACCAAAAATTGTACCTCATTTATACACCACAGTTATGCACAAACATTTTGATAGTTTACACCGACACAAGTGTTGGTGCGTTAACAAAAATTTACACAGACACAAATGTTGGTGCATTAACAAAAGGTGGTTTAGACCAACACAAAATATTGGTGCAAACTTGCGAGATACAAATTGGGGTATAAATGTTGGGGTACATATAGCTTAATCCCACTCCCCTAATGGGTTCCTCAAGCAATTTTTTTAGTGAAAAAAGTATACGTATATAAAGATGTAGTCAAAGATTCGAGATGATGATGGCCATGGACCCCAACACCCATGGCAGTATCTTGGAACAACTTAAACACGTAAGAAATTACTCGTAAATCCTACTCCGTATTAAATATTGATGAGGATAAGAAAGTGGACGTTACATCCTATGGGCCTATGCGGATCGACGGGGTCATTGAAAAATTACTCATTTCCATTTTCCTATGGGCCTATGCTGATCGACGGGGTCACTGAAAAATTACTCATTTCCTTCGGATTTAGACCTGTGTTTTGGATTTTAAAAATTAGGTTTCAATTCTTTAAGTTTCTTTTACTTATTCTAGTTATTTTCAATCCTTCCACTTTTTTCTAATGATTTAAAAAAATATTTATATATTATTAATAAAAAAATAAAACTATATATCTAAATTTGTAACATATCAACTCAAACACAGACAATAATGTATTCTTTTTTATCCAAAATTAAAATTTTCTAACATATTTATTTGGGGGATAAAGACTGATGGTGTAAATTACCACGCAAATACTAAGTATGAGTAATCGGAAGGGTTGTAGGTGGAAACACCTGTAACCCGGCTTGTTATTAATGAAAGTAGGAACTATTACAATCAGTATAGGCCGTGTAGATTAATTAAAGCATGCCTCACAAATGAGGCTTTTAGGAGTATTTATAATAATCCTAAGCACGTCAAGCACGTCTCTAATTATCCAACCGGTCAGGCAGCTGGCCGGTCAACCAGGTGTACTTCGGAAAATAGGTCTTCTGTTATTGGCGCTCGGAAAACCAGCGCCAACCCAAAATATTTGAAATTTGAAATTTGAATTTTGGAATTTCAAAAACCGGATGTCCAAAGCGGGAGAATCTTCTCGAAGTCGGGTATAGAGCCGCCGATTTATTGTGCCGTTTCATCTCCCCGAGAGGTTATGATGGCAAATCATTTCAGCTGCCACGTGTCATTATTTCGTTCGTCCGTCTGGGCGGCACCTTCCCTATATAAGGCAAGGTTCCCCCTTGAATTTCCTCACTTGCAAATCATCAACTAAAAAACTGCCTGGCTGCTTCTGCTTCTTCACGAGTCCTCCGAGTCCTCTTATTCCAAGTAAGTCTCTTTCTTTCCTCTTCTTCGAGTCATGTCTGACCACGAAGACAGCCAGAACCCTTCCGTCCACTCTTACGGTTCTGGTGACCGGTCCCAGACTTCTGGTTCCTCTTCTTCTTCCTCTGATTCTGAGCACCCGGTTACTTCTCCACAGAAGAAGCCGGTTGATGCTTCCACTTGCGCTCCTTCTACTTCCGTGGCGCAAGTGGTCTCGGTTGCTCAACCCGAGGATGAGGGTTTTATTCAGCTGGACGATCGATTGCTCCAAACGCAATCGTCGGTCATGCAGAAGGCCCAAATCCACGAGGTGCGCAACCTGATGCCGGAGGGGTACCAATTGACCTACCCGGCAACGTGGAAGAGCATCATTTCTCTCGATGTCGGTACGTCGATTGGTATCCATTACCATTCCATCAAGGACCTGGGTGAATTCTCTATTCACCCATTCAAAGTCCTTTTCCTTGAGACATACGGTATCATGCCCGGGCAGCTGGCCCCTAATGGTCACCGTCTGATAGGCAGTTTCATCAATGTCTGCCGGTTTCTTCGTATTCCTCTCTTCCTCCGTCTCTTCGACCATATGTTCGATGTCCGGCCCGGGTCCAAGGAAACCCTTGGATTCGTGGTAGTGTCTTCTCATCAAGGCCGGGCATTCCTCTGTGGCCTTCCTCCTTCTAACAAGAAGTGGAAGGACAAATACGCGTCCATCAAATTCCCCCCGGCTGCTTTTCCTTTTGCCCAGAATGTCTGGGGGAAGAGAATGAAGCGCCAGGTCAAACCAGCGGAGGCCGATGACCTGGTTGCTTGGGAAGCCACTCTCCGGGCCGAGGATGCCTCCACCCGCAGCCTATACCATGTAGGGAAGTGGAGTGTTTATCCCGGCCGGGAGACTGATCCTGAACCGGAGATTGTCTTGCCCGGGGCGATCCCCGAAGCCATCCCCATCCGCCGGGTGAGGGGATCCAAAGCACTGGCCACTGCCACCGCCGGTCCTTCACGCCCGGCGAAGAAGAAGAAAGAGAAAGGTCAATCAACTGTCCTTAACTTTCCTTCATATTTATTTATTCCCAACTCTGTTCTTCTAACCGGTTTCTTTTCTTGCAGTGGTGAAATTCCAGTCCAAGTTTCTCATTCCCCAGATTGTGGTTGAGGAGCCCTCCTCTGTTCAGCCACTCAACCCTCCAAACAGCCAGACGTTCACTCTGGAGGAGCAACCGGCTTAATCCCATCAGGGCACCAACCAGCCCATTCACTCGGGGGAACTCTACATTAATGTAGATACCTTCGAGTTCGACACCCTGATGGGGGAGACCGGGCATACCTCCCAGGCCGGGTTGGCAGGCCAACTTAACGAGGACGACGAAGGCGAGGAAGAGGCTGCCGGAGAGTCCCTTCAACAGAAGAGGCGGAAGATTGAGGAGGTCAACCAGCCATCCCACCAGGGGGCCCAGTCCTCCGACGCCGGCAAGGGGCTAATCGTGCCTCGATCCCAGGCTTTGATGTCTAGGTCAGACGAGGAGCTCTTCCGAGCGTTCTGATCCGATCTGACTGAGGTAATGCCCTTTTCTACCTTCTTACCGTCCGCTTATTGTTTTTGACACTTTCATGAAAAGTTTTCCATGTCTTTAAAGTAGGTCAGCCGGATCGGGGAAGAGTATTTCGCCCGGTTGGTGAAATCGAAGGATGAGGAGAGGGCCAGGATGGAGGCCATGATGGTCGAGTGTCGGAAGGAAGCCCAGGCTGCCCGGGCCAAGGCAGAGAAGATAGAGGGCAAATGGACAGAGCACTGCGCGGTCTACCGCCAGCTCTATGCCAAGCACGATGGTCTCTTTAAGGCTGCAAAAGAGGCCGAGGATCAAGCTCAGGAGAAGATCCAAAAGCTAGAGGCTGAAAACGCCCGGGCTGCAGAGGAGGTCCAAAAGCTGGAGGCCGAGAACGCCCGGTCTGCGGAGGAGATTGCTCGGCTCGAAGACGAGCTGGCAAAGGAGCGGGCGGAGCGTGCTGCCCTTTCCGCTGCCTAGGCTGTTCAAGAGCCTGAGGAGTTCGCCGCTCAAGCGCTACCTGACCGGGAGACAGCCATCTGCTTCTTCCAAGGGCTATACAAGCACAAAGTCTCGGCCGGGATTGTCGACGAGATCGGGACCTTTGGCTTTGAGACCGGTCAGTACGCTGAGCGACGGGCCCTCTATGGCATCCTTGAGCAAAGGGTCCAAGGTTTTAAACCAAAGGTTCTCTCTCTGCCCGAGCTACATGATGAGGAACCAGTCCCTCCATTCCCGGGAATCTGATCCCCTTGACCTTCTTCTCTTATATTTTTGTTTCTATGATGTAATGATTTGCCTCCGGTCTTTTTTTTGTAAACTTGCATATTAATAGAAGTATTTTCGACATTGTGTGCTGAGTGATTTTCTCCATGTCTCATTAATTCTTTTCAACTTAGATTTTTTAACCGTTTAGATTAGTAAATAACAGCCCGGCTGCATTTACCCGGCTTAACATACAATTTCACCCAAGTCTTTTCGAAAGGTTGGATGGTCGGCCGGGAAGACTTTTAGTGTTATTAATTTCCTCCCGGTTGGTTAATAACCCGAGATGGCATATTGACTTGTCCTTTTCGAAAGGATGAGTTTTAGCCCGGGCGCTTGTAAGGCCGACCTGTTTTCACAACGGCTTAATGCCCTTGTAGGCTTCAGAACGTCTGACTTAAACTGGCCAGGATGATCTCCCTTTAGTCAAGCCAAATCGTTTTAATTCCCGTGTTCGTACGGATGAGGGGTATGATCGGTTCGACCGATTTTTTTTTTAAGATGCCCAATTCGATTGGACATCTAACAGGGCAGATCGGTGTGCGACCTATTACCGGCTGATATGTGAGAACAATCTTTCTGAAAAGAACAAGTTTTTATCGATAACCGGGGACTCATTACACTTTATCTAAAAAATTTACGCAAGTGGTGAGAGTTCCAATGTCGGTCGACTCGTCCACCTTCCATAGTCTCTAGTTGATAAGTGCCCGGTTTGACAATTGCTTTTACGCGGTAGGGCCCTTCCCAGTTACGCACCAGCTTGCCCCTCTCGTTAGGCTTACTAGCATCCCTCCTGCGTAAAACTTCATCGTGCACTTGGAAGTATCGTGGGCCCACCCGGTTGTCATGATACCTCTTTACTGACTGCTGGTAACCAGCCATCTTGACAGCCGCTATTGTCCTTCGTTCTTCCACCAGGTTCAATTCAGCTAGGTGGTCGACCTCATTCTGACCGGGCTGGTACACGGTTTCTCTAAATGTTGGAATTTCTGCCTCTACTGGTAGCCGGGCTTCACATCCGTAGGTGAGCACGAAAGGAGTCTCTCCAGTTGCTCTCCTTGAAGTCACTCTATGCGCCCAGACCGTATGAGGTAAGGCTTCCAACCACTTGTGTCCTTCCTCACCCAGTCTCTTTTTCAGACCGTCCACAATTGTTCGGTTGGCGTTTTCGACTTGGCCATTTCCCTGTGGATATGCTACCGATGCCTTGCTATGCTTGATGCCGAAACTAGCAAGGTACGCAGTGAACCGGGGGTTGCGAAACTGCGGACCGTTGTCGGTGACGATGATCTTTGGGGAACCAAACTAGGTGATAACATTTTTCCAAACAAATTTCTCACACTGCCGTACGGTTATTGTAGCCATTGCCTCAGCCTCGATCCATTTAGTGAAGTAATCAATAGCCACCATCACGAACTTCTTACCGCCTTGGGCAACCGGGAAGGCTCCAATAATGTCAATCCCAAACCGGGCAAATGGTATGACATTAGATGTTGGTTGGTAATATGTGGCCGGTCTGCCGGGATGTTTGTAAAAAACCTGGCATGTTCTACATCTTTGGACATACCGCTCACAGTCCCCAACAATGGTCGGCCAGTAGTAGCCAAGCAATGTTATCCTTTGAGCCAAAGTGCGGGACATTTGATGGGCTGCACAAACCCCCTCACGTACCTCAGCTATTACCCGTTCAGCCTTCGGGTTGGTAAGGCAGCGTAGGAGAGGTCCGCCAATGGCCCACTTGTACAGGTGACCATCGATTACCTGAAAACGAGGGGCCCTCAGGACCACCTTCCTGGCCCGTTCCTCGTCATCTGGTTTCTGACCGGTCTCCAGATACTCCATGAGATCGTACCTCCAGTCATCATCTACTCCGATTATCCCGTTTGCTGAAGTCTGGCCCGGGTGGATAGCCGCCACTTCAAACCGGTCTGCGCTCGGCACGTCCAGTATCTCAATTTTTGCCAACTTTGACACATCTCCGGGCAAGCTTGCGTCAACTTTGAAAGCATATCTGCATCAGTGTTTTCTGACCGGGGTATCCTGGTTAGACAAAACTCTTCCAACTCCCTTAGGAGCGCTCGGACCAGGTCACTGTATCGGGCTAGGCGATCTTCTTTAACTTCCATCTCACCATTGACCTGTCTGACGACCAGACTTGAATCGGAACGGATCTTCATCCTTTTTATTCCGAGCGCCCGGGCTAATCTGAGACCACCGGCCAGCGCCTCATACTCCGCCTCATTGTTGGTGAGTTTGAAGTTAAAAATTAGGGCATGGTAGATCTTGAATCCTTCCAGGGCAGTGAAGACTACGCCGGCTTCGCATCCCTTCGGTCCAGAGGCCCCATCAACGGCCATATCCCACCACGGTTCGACCGTATGGGAAGGTCCGGCTTCGGGCTCTAATCCGGTCAGTTCAACGAGGAAGTCTGCCAAGGCTTGACCCTTGATTGCGGCCCTTGGTTTATACTCTATTTTGAACTGAGTGAGAATCATCGCCCACTTAATCAATCTTCCCGAGGAGGTTGAATTTCGAAGGACCGGTCCAAGAGGCTGATCGGTTAGTACTTTCACAGTGTGAGCTTGGAAATACGCGGTCAGTTTCTTGGCCGTTATGAAAAGTGCGTAAGCTTTTTTTTCAATGGCCGTGTACCAACTCTCTGCCCCATTAAGTGCTTTGCTCACATAGTAAATAGGCCTCTGGCCGTCTTCATTGCTTTGGACAGAACTATATCAGAAACTAAGTACTCTTTCAGCTGCTGGAAAGCTTCCTCGCACTCCCGGTCCCACTCGAACGCATTTGCCTTATTCAGAACTTTGAAGAAAGATAGAGCCTTCTCGGCGGAACGGGAGAGAAAACGACTCAAAGCCGCCAACCGCCCGGTCAGTCGTTGCACGTCCTTTAATGAACTGGGCGATCTCATCTCGGTTATGGCTTTAATCTTCTCAGGATTAGGCTCAATACCACGCTTGGTCACCATGAACCCCAGAAACTTGCCGGTCTTTACAGCAAAGACGCATTTCTTGGGATTAAGGTGCAAGTTGTACTTAGCCATAATCTCAAAGCAGAGCCTCATGTCGGCCGGGTGGCTTTCTGCACCCGGGCTCTTGATCAGCATGTCATCTACATAGGCCTCTATGGACTTACCGAGGAGTGGCTTAAAAAGCCGGTTTACCATCCTCTGATAAGTGGCGCCCGAGTTCTTCAGTCCAAAGGCCATCACCCGGTAGCAATAAATGCCTTCAGGAGTTAAGAAAGAGGTTTTCTCTTCGTCTCCCTCGGCCATGAAGATCTGATGATAGCCTTTGAAGGCGTCCATGAAACTGAGCAATTCACACCCGGCCGTCTCATCGACCATCTGATCGGGACTGGGCAACGGGTATGAATCCATGGGACACGCCTTGTTCAAGTCCGTGTAGTCCACGCACATGCGCCAGGTGTCGCCTTTTGGTGCCAGGACGACGTTTGCCAACCAGGCCGGGTATTGTACTTCTCTTATGTGCCCGACCGCCAGCAAATCCCTCACTTCTTTCTTCACAAAGTCCCTTCGGGCGCTGGCCAAGTGCCTTTTCTTCTGCTTCACAGGCCAGCTACCTTCCATCACAGCCAAACGGTGGCATATGACAGAACGGTCTATGCCTGGCATGTCCGCAACACTCCAGGCGAAAATCTCTGCATATTCCCGAAGGATTGAGATGATTTCTTCTCGAAGTCCCCCGGGCAGATCCCGACCAATTCGCACCATCCTTTCCGGGAAAGCCTCCCGGAGAACAATCTGCTCGGTCTCATCACACGGCTCCAGTTTTGACCGCTCTTCTTCCTGGGAAACCAAGGTAACCCTCTCAAATGCCTTGGTCATTTTCTTTACGGCCTCCAAGTAACAAGACCGGGCCTTCTTTTGGTCTCCTCTCACTTGTCCGATACCACCCGGGGTATAGAACTTCATGCAGAGGTGGGCCATGGAGATGACTCCACGGACCTTGTTTATTCCAGGCCGGCCTAGGATGGCGTTGTGAACACATTTGATGTTCACTACCACAAACCTCATTTGTTTTTGGACGACCTGGTCTCTTGTGCCCAACTCACAAGTCAGAAGGATTGACCCTTCAGCTTCAACAGAGTCCCCGGTGAACCCGGACAGGGGAGTCTTTAAGGGCTCAAGCCGTGTCCGACACAACTTGAGCTTTTCAAATGCATCCAAGTACAAAACGTTGACACTACTGCCCGTGTCAACGAGTACCCGGGAGACATCGACTCCACCCATGTCCATAGTTATGACCAGGGGGTCATTGTGATCTTCTCCGATAGCGGGGAGGTCTCGGTCAGTAAACGTGATTGGTTCCCTTCTGGTTTGTTTCCTTTGGGGATCTAGGGCAACCGTGCCAACATAGAGCTCCCGTCCCCACTTCTTCCTTTGAGATGCGGAATCTCCTCCTTCTGGCCCACCGTAGATGACCTGCAAATGCTCTTTACCGGGTGCTTTATTCTTCTTATTCTGTTCGACCGGCTTCCCTTCAGGCCTGATCCATTGGTTTTTCTTTTGTTTTGATTGAGCCAAATACCCTGGGTCGAGCTCGCCGGCTTCAATCATCTGCTTGATTACCCCCTTCACACTATTGCATTCCGCAGTGTTATGGGAGTCAGTTTTATGGAAAGAGCAATACTTCTTCGTCCATTGCTTTTCGCCGGCCGGTTTCTTTTCCGTTTTGACCGGTTTTACCTCCATGACTTCCACCTTCGCCCTCCCGGGCTCTTCAATTTCCTTTTTCAAGGAAATTTTTCCTTTGGAATGGCCCTGCTCGGCTTCCCTCTTGGATGACACCTGTGCTTCGGCGTCAGCATAATCCCAGGCCGTGTTGTAGGCCTCTTGGTAGGATTGGGGAGGTCTCCTGGAGAATTCTTTATACAATTCTCCGGACCGGAGTCCGGACATCAGGAGGGACATGGCGGTTTTGTCGTCCATCTCCTCAACTTTATCAACTTCATCCTTCCATCGGGTGAGGAATTTCGTTAAATCCTCGTGCTCCCTCTGTCCGGCCGTGCTCAAGTAGGTGAACTTTTTCTTCTTGGTGCAGTTTTCCTTGAACTTCTTTTAGAACACCTCGGCCAGCTCATTGAAAGAATCGATCTCACCGGCCGGTAGGTTATGAAACCACTCAGCGGCTCGGCCGCGGAGGGTTTGGAAGAACAGTAAACATTTTTCGTCCCCAGAAAGGCCCATCATCCTTCCACTTTGATGAAGGGTTTTGACATGTATTTCCGGGTCCTCCTTCCCGGTAAACTTCGGGACCTCCAACTTTGCTTTCTTCGGAAATGGGGTCTCGTGAACCCGGTCTGTGAACGGAGATTTGTTCAACAGGATTTTCTTCTTTTCATCCCGGTCCACCCGGCGCTGCAGCTTCTCCAAACGTGCTTCGACCCGGCCCACACGATCCCGGGGTTGTTCAACATGGGAGCGGATCGTGTGCCTAGGGTGGCTCTCTGCTTCTTCTTCTCCATGGGGTGCCCGGCTATGTTGGGGCTCTTCGCGGTGGGGAGGTTCCGTGCGCCTGGTCCGACCAGGTCGCTCGTCCTCTCTACCCAGGCGATCAAAAGCGCTCAACGGGGTTGTTTCCACCCCTAGTCATTCTTTGGCAAGCCGGTTTTGATTTCTACCCTCATGGCCAAGCCTTTGAAACGCTGACCTCCTGGACCCTTCAGGTTGAATAGCTTTTCCCTTCAGCTTCTTTTGTGCCTGGGGTACATCCCAATCCTCATCCCTGCTATGGACTGATCGCACATCACCATCAGGCGTGATCTGCGTGCGTGACCTTCGGGACCGGGACGGACCAGCTTTGTCCATCTCTCCGATCAGATTTGTTGGAGAGATCGGGCGGATGATATTAGTTTGGGGCAAGGATTGTGGGTATAACCCGGGAATGAAAGGTGAAAATCCTCCCGGCTGTTGAAACATGGACATGAACTGCCCAAAATTTTGGAATGCCTGTGAAAACAGCGGGTCCACGGGCCCAGGAAAATTGGGAGAAAAAATAGGGATAGAGGTGACGGGGGAAGTGAATGGAATAGGTGTTGGAATGGTGATGATGGGGGTAGGAATCTGGTTTGAAGGTTGTGCACTCCCTCATGGGAACGAGGCGACGTTCTCAACGGGAGTAGAGATTTGTGAGATGACCGTTTCCTGATTGCTTGTCATGACTTATTGTAATAGGTCCCACGGGTGGCGCCAATTTGATGGTGTAAATTACCACGCAAATACTAAGTATGAGTAATCGGAAGGGTTGTAGGTGGAAACACCTGTAACCTGGCTTGTTATTAATGAAAGTAGGAACTATTACAATCAGTATAGGCCGTGTAGATTAATTAAAGCATGCCTCACAAATGAGGCTTTTAGAAGTATTTATAATAATCCTAAGCACGTCAAGCACGTCTCTAATTATCCAACCGGTCAGACGGTTGGCCGGTCAACCAGGTGTACTTCGGAAAATAGGTCTTCTGTTATTGGCGTCCGGCCTTCCCATCTACCCGGTGAAATAACCCGGGCTGAGAAGGGTGCGTGCTGTCACTTGCATCACCACCCAGGCGGGCGAACCAACCGGGTGGTATCCATGGGTTATTACCCATCAAAGACCAAAGTAAGACTAAAACATTGAAAATATACCAAAATAAGACTTCCATGTTTTTATTCCCAAAATATGACTTACATTACCATACATGGTCATATACATTACCAAAAAGTATAATAATTTGCACATGTACACTGCCACATTATCACATGGCAAAGTCACATTACCACAGTGCAAAGTCCTATTTCGGGAAAAAAACATGAAAGTCCTATTTTGGCACTTTTCTCTATGTTCTAGTCCTATTTAGGGTGATTTCTATTTATTTGGATGGTCATTTAATTGAGTGATTTTCTAATATTTAAGTTCTTCCAACATTTTCTAATTCTTTTCAGATTCTAGCAACTTTATCTAGTTTCTTCCAACTCCTTGAAGTTTATTTCAGCATCCAACTCTAGATTTCCAACCCAAAAGAACATGACTTAAATATAAACAATTTATCTTTTCGTAAATTTTTTTAAAAAATAGGAAAAATAAAAGTTGATAACAGACCGTTTTATTTCTTAATTGTTTTTTTCATGATTGATGGTCTAGACTGACACAAAGTGTTGGTGCGTTAACAAAAATTTACACTGACACAAAGCGTTGGTGCGTTGACAAAAATTAGCATTACACCAAGGTAGCATTTTTTTTAATGCAATATATTTTCCGGATCAAGTAAATGTATTTCGAACTTGATTTTTATCATTGGACAAAATACCAAGGTAGAATAAATATTTTTTGAGGAATTGAAAATGTACTCAAAAATGTGTTTTGTAATTCCAAACTTGCTAGCATGAAGAATAAGAACTTAAGTACTACTTTTCACCTCCTAGAATAAAGGATAAGACAAATTCATTTATCATTCAACAATCTCAAGCATGGGTTCCAATAATGCACTATCTTCAAAAAAAGAATATGTAATAATTTTTATGTTCTCCAATAAGTTTGAATAAGTTAAGTTCACTATATTATTGAGGAATACATTGTTTTAAGAATCATTTTACGTCAGCAACCAGCTCCATCAATCACTTGCCCAAGATTTCCATTTCCGACTTTGATTATCCAATAAGGAAAAGCTTATGTGTCCCTATCTGTGCAAAAGTACGTAGAAGAATGTAATCTCATATTTTTTGTCACCGTATAAACTTTACATTACAATCATATTTTTGAGGTTTTGGCGGTGGCACTTATAATTTCCTCTTTCAAAGCTTCGAGTAAACTGACACGTACAACTATTTTTCCTCCAAATGGTTCATTTGTGGACTTATTATTAGGGAACTTCACTACATCTCTCATTGTGCAATCTAATGCATCAAAGTAAATCTATTCATCTTAGATTATTCATTCCATACGATTATACTTGCTAGTTGGATTAGTTTTGCTTTTTAGGCTTTCTTGTTTGATGGCACACGATGAGCACTCGATTAGTGTCGAATGGATTAGGAATCTTGAGTGTGTTGTCCTTCCCCTAGGCAAAAGCAATGCTATAATGGAGCTGGATGCGGCATTCAAGACAACCTTACCATTTGAACTCGGGGTAGCATAAAGTGATTTTAGAGAAATATTTTTTCACATCCATTGTAGCCTTACACAAAAAAGAAACTTTGTTTTTCAGCTGTCACGACTTCCATTATTTCATTAGATATTTTTCTTTGATCTTCACTTATCGTAGATATATATCCCCTAAGATCAAATGACAACTTTCATTTCTCATAGTCCAACTATACCAAGAAATTATTTTGATATATTTTAAGTGGATTATAATTTATCCCTCTGGTGTAGCCATATTAAGGTATGTGCATGAGGCAAACTTCTCTTTTGAAAGTCAACAGTTTACAAACATGCATAGAATAATTTCAATCAGATGACCATATTTTAAATTTCAACATCCAAACTACAACAACTTTATTATTCAATTGAAACTGATATAACAAACTTTAAAATTAAGTGTAATTAATTTACCAAATATAAGTCCTATTTTATGTCCTTCTCCAAATGATCCAATTTCATTTTATAGATTTTAGAGTCAATGTTAGGCATGTCTTCAGCTCTGCATTTCCTTATTGTCATATATCTTGCAATCTATTATCATTTGGGATTACATGTTATAGTAATGAATAAATTTGGATAACCAAATCTTTTACAAATGACCATTACATCTTGTCAGTTGTTAAATATATATCTCATTCTTAGTGAATGTAGATGATAAGATAATTTGTTGGTCAATGGTTGCTCATTAAGTATCACCTCTTAACACAGCTTCATGTAAGTCACTCATAAATGCTCCTCAACTTGATTCTGGTTTAACCACACGCACTGGATTCTTTATCCTTTAATCATCGTATATATATGCATCAACCAAAAATTGTAAATACAATCTTTGTGGAAGCAACACAATACCATCATTTTCTCTTTCTTGTATTTGAAATGAAACAAAGTCTCTCACTGATACTCTCTGACGCTTTACATTTTTCACACAAGAAATGATTCTCTTATAAGTATATTTTCTTGATATTCATCTTCCCTTATAAGTATGAAAGCATTGAGTGTCTCGTAGACTTTTTATAAGAATCCATCTCTTTTCGCAATGATGCCCCTTTCTTCATTAGATGAATCAAGATCTTTAACTATATTAGAGACCAACTTCATGTATTGTGGAGATATTATAATTTCTTGAGTTTATAGTTTTACTTCTCAACAGCCTCAATGATACATTAGAAGTAGACTCATTATATATATATGAAGTCTTACTTCTCAATTGCATCAATGATATATTAGAAGTAGGCTCATTATCCATGACGTCATTAGTTCTTCTAAAACTCTGTTTTAAAACATTATGCTCATCTATCATATTTTTCAAATATTTGACCAAACTTTTATCAGTAGTCAAAGAATTATTCTCCCTACTATGTGAAACAAATAGAACAATTTGTTTTTATTAGTATGTTAATAATGTTCCATGTGTATTATATTGTCAAACACATGTAAATAATAATTTTATTAAAAGGGTGTACTCAATTAAGTATTCGAGATACCTAAAATGAGTTATTTGTTTTCATATCTCGTTCTGCATACCATAAATATACAATTGTGTAAATTTTGGTCTTTCACCATACTGTGACAAGGTGTTTTTTTCACAATATGTTGTGAAAATGTGCTGTATGTTTTTGAAAAGGTGTTTTTTTTAAATTTCATAATATACTATTTAATTTAAATATTTTCCAATAATAAATGAAAATATAAAAGTTTTTAAATGCAATTATACGGAGAAATTTGTGTGTAACAAATACGAAATTTAATTTCTACATAATAAGTTTTTTGTTACCTACTACCTCCGTCCCACTGTCTTTGTCCACATTTGACTTTTGGAACTGTTCATCTAAGCACTTTGACTCATCAAATTCTCTCAATGTGTAAGCCTAAAAATAGTCATGTGTGATCTTGTTTGATTCGTCTTAACATATAGATTATTAATATATAATTTCTATAATTTTTTAATATACAAATTACAAGATAAAATGGATTAAAGAAGTGCATTGGATGGTGTGCCAAAAGGCAAGTGGACAAAGACAGTGGGACGGAGGGAGTGTTTTTTAAACATTACTTGCTAACATGTGATGCTGATATGTCAAAAAATTTGTCAAATAAGCACACCACATGTCACAATTCTAGAAGCTCAACCCATTTGAAATATTGAAGAAGTCGATTTTGATGACATGACTAATAATGAAGTATCAAAAAAAGTTCCAATTAGCACGCCAAATGTTGCAATTTTGAGAGTTCAACTCTCAAATTTTATAAGAGCGGCCATTACAGATGAAGGATAGTCCCTAAAATTACAATATTCAATGAAAGAACAATCACTACAAGAAAATATCAATATTGCAACGGATACATTGCAACAACCTTTTTTCTGTTG